TCCTTGTGATAAAGTTCCTCCAATAACTCCTCCAATTAAGTCTTGAGGTAAAGTTCCTGGTTTATTAATATCAAACGAACGAATAATAGTCATCCGTGGATTAACTTTGAAATCTCTTTGTGGAACAGGAATAGAATGACAAATGTATTCACAAACTACATCCATATTATATTTTAATTGTGCACAAATTGGAATAATTGGCGCATTTTCTGCAATGCTTCCTTTAACAAATTCTTTAATTTGTTGATAATTCTTTTGTGCATCTTCTTTAGTTTTTACCAAATCAATTTTATTTTGTAAAATAATCATATGTTTCAATTTCATAAATTCTACTGCAGCTAAATGTTCACTTGTTTGTGGCTGTGGGCATGGTTTATTACCTGCAACGAGCAACAATGCCCCATCCATAACAGCAGTTCCAGTAAGCATTGTCATCATCAATGAGTCGTGACCTGGACAATCTACAAAACTAACATGTCTTAATAATTGCATCTTATGACCACAACCTGGTACTTCACAAATTGGGTTGTCTTCCTTAGCTGACCCATAACTTTTATAACAACCTGGTTTAGGACAATTTGGGTTTGTACATTTATAAATTTTAGCATTAGCATAACCTAAACGAATTGTCATATTTTTCTTCAATTCTTCTCTAAACTTGACTGTATGTACACCTGATAATGCTTTAACTACTGTTGATTTACCATGAGCTACATGTCCAATAGTACCAATATTAATTGTTGCTTGTCTTGAAATGACACAAGGTGTAAGAGCAGTTATTTCATCAATGTTAAGAGAAGAAAGATCTTGCTTCATTAAATTTGAATTTGCATCTCCATTAGTAGGTGCTTCAATAACGATTTCCTCCATTGTCTTTTAAGTTTCTTTTCATTTTTTCAAACTATTTTCTACCTTTTATTATTTTTTTATTATTCTTTTTATAAAACCCTATTTTTTTATTTTTATTTTTCTTTTTATTCATAATTATGAGTCTTTTTCTCTTTACTCAATATCAGTTTCTTCATTAAAAAGGGAAATTAATAAATAAACAAATCCTTTTGCTAATTAATCATCATTCCATTGTCATCTCATTAACGACTTGTGATAGTGTGTAATAATAGTTGTATGGGAAATGATCACTAAGACTTAGTACTTTAATAAAAAGCCAGCCAAACTCTTTATTTTCACGTTCAAACAAGCGATATTTTTTAACGCCATGTTCTTTTCTTTTTTGGATATGAAATACTCTTCCTGGTGGTACTAAGACTGATGAGTCTATAGTATTTGTTGATTCATAAAAACGGTTGAAAGCTTGTTGGTATTGCTCTGTTGTTTCTTTTGAGTTGAGAGAGATTAAACTAGTATTATTGTAAATAGAACGAAACTCGTTGATTAATGGTTGAATATTTTTAATTGAATCAAAAGATAGTCTAGGAACAATATCATTTTTTGATACTACGGAATCAATCAGTGAACGAACTAATGGAGATGAAGCTATATTCAGTGAAAGGACTAATGCAGGTGCTAAACAATAACCATGAACTAACCAATCGGGGTGATTTTTATTAATTTCTAAAGTCAACAATTGGGCGACTCCACCACCAAGAGAATGACCAGCAATAGTAATTTGAAAAGAAGGGTATTTCAGTTTAAGCATTTTTAATGTTGGGATGATTTGTTGATATTTATTAAGAGCGGCTTTATAGATTCCAGCATGAGTAAATCCATTAATTCCAGCAAAGTTATAAGGTACAGGTTTAGCACATAAATCTACTTTAGCATCACTAAGAGAAAAAGTACCTCTTATGACAACAGAAATAGTTTTTAAAGAGTCAATGACAACAATAAAATAGGCAGGATCAAAGATTTCAGAAGTCCACTTATATTTAACAAATGCAGTTTTATCTAAACCACATAATTTTTGAGCTAATTTCCAATCAACATCTTCTGAAGATGATTGAATAGTAAAAGCACGTTTAAAAATATTATCATCTTTATCTCCTTGAATATAAACCCATTTTCCATAAGATAATACACATAATCTCATATAATAAAATAAAGTAGATACAAAATGAATATCAGTTATTTGAGAAATAATACCTCTTTCATTTATATTAATTTTTGATTTACTAATTTGATGAATAGTTAATAAAACATCTTTTAATGAAATATTATTTTCTTTTAAATATGTTGGAATAATATCAGAATATTTATTTCCAGGTAATTCAATAAATGCATCTATTGTATTACTAATTATTTGTATTTTACTCTTTTCATCTCTTTTTACTTCTAAATCAACTGGTTTAGGATTCATAATATCTTTATAACTAAATATATTGTAATTATATGTATTTTCAGTGATATATGTCATTGTCTCAAGGAAAATGATTTTTAAAAAGATTAATTTGGAAACTTTTTAGTTTCTGAATTAAATATATTTTAATTAAAGAATGAATTTATAAAAAGAATATTATTATTTTAATCTTTCATTTATAATATTTCTTTTCTTTAACTTAAATTATATAAATTAAATACTTTTTTAAATAAAATAAAGAAACAAAATTATTTTTAAATCATTGAATTTTGTTTTAATCGAATTAATAATTCATTAACACCTTAAAACAACAAAAAGAATAATTGTTGTTTTGTTTTTCTCTTTATTTGGTTTCTTCTTGAGTTTCTTCAGTACTATCATCATCTTTATTATCATCTTTAGGCCAAATTTTATCAATTAATGGTGTAAAGAATGGAATAGTTCTTAGATATTCCATTGTTGAAGATAATGACATAGATAATAAATATTGAATATAATTCTTTGCAACACCTCCAAGATTTAATTTATATCCAATATAAATCCCACCTCCAATAATTAAAGTTAAAATGAATAATAATGGATTAGTTAATATTGCAATAAATTCATCAAATCCAAAGAATATAACTAGTACAATTAAATATAATGGAATTTGATATTTAATTTCACTATTTTCTTTTTCTCTTAATGCTATTAAATATCCTTTTTCAAAGAATTCATTTAATGTTTCAATTAATTCTTTACGTTCTTGATGATTTAAAATAATTTTATCTTCATCAGCTCCTTCTGGTAATGCTTCAATAGATTCACTTGGTAAATCTCCATCTCTATAATTAATTGTAAATTTAAATTGATCATCATTTTCTTCAATTCTAAAATAACAATACATATCAAGAATATCTTCTGTTTCATCTCTTGCTGTAAAATAAAGTGTATCAACATCATCTGTAGGTTCCCATTTTCTTGGTAATCCTTTATTATCAAATCTAAATATATTATTAAATTTTCTTTCAAGTAAATATGGTAATTCTGTTTTTCTTTTAATAACTAATTCTTTTATAATATTTAAAATATCTATTTTACTTTTTTTAATTTCTTCTTCAATAGTATCTTTATTCATATTACTACATGTTTTAAATCCTTCTTCTAATTTATTAAATCCATTAGTAAATTGTGTATTAATAACATTTCTAATATTTTTCCACATATCTTTTTTACATGCCTCTAAATATGGTGTAATTTTTGGTTTTATTGTACTTTCTAAATAATCTCCAAAATGTTGTTTCATTACTTCTGCCATTTTAGATACTGCATCTTCATATGCAATTCCAATATCTTTACAAACACTATTAAATTTTTCTTTTGTTTTTTCTGCTAAAAATTTTGGTACTGATTCATCAAATTGTTTTCTCCAATCTCTTTCAATAACTGCTTTTGTTCTTGATAATTCTTGACTATATTTTTGATATTTCATTGGATTAAATTCTTTTTTATTATATAATAATGCATATTCATTTCTAATTATTGTAAATTCTCCTTTTACTCTTTTTCCAATAGCTTTTTCCATTAATTCGGCTTGTCTTTCAAATAATGATTCAACTAATCCATATAATTGTTTTTTTAATTGTTCTTCAATTTCTTCTACAATACTTTCCATATATCTTTCTGTAACTTCTTTATATTTTTCTATTGCTGTATCTATTTCTTTAGTCATTATTTTTTTAAATTCTTCAATAATATTTCCTTTTTTTAATGTTTTCATTTCTCCTTTAATACTATCATTAAATTCTTTATATATTTGATTAGAAATTTCTGTACATCGATATCGAGATAACATTTCACGTTGACTTGGTAAATCTAAATCTTTATTATCTTTAATAGTTTCCCAAATTTGTTCACAAAAACAACTTAATCCATCTGCTGGTATTTCTTTATTGTATTGTGGTAAAAAGTATGTCTCTTTATTTTTTGGATCAAATTTCTTTTTCATTAAATTAACTTCTTCAACAAAATTTTCATAGAAATGTTCATAATGTGGTAATGATGTAAATTGGAAATCAAAAAATCTATTGATTGGTGAATTAATAAATTTTTCTGGTGGAATTACACTATCCCAAATTCTCATAATATCTTCCATAATATCTCTTTCTATTTGATCAAAAGGTGTATCTGCTTCTCTATCTCTAATAACAAAAACAATCAATGTTTTAGGTGTTTCTTCTTTCACAAATAATTGAAGATTCAATTCAAATACTGTCTTTAATAATGACATATTTGATGCTTGAAATCTTCCAACATCATGTGACCATAAATTAACCATTAATACACTACATACTGATAAACTAAATAATGACGTTTTTCTTTCAAATGAATAATCATCTTCTCGTGCTGATCCATCTGTACCCTCTAAATCAAATACAACAATATTTGATTCTTTTCCTGATAGTGCCATCCATACTCCATGTGTTGTTCTACTTCTTCCCATAACTTCATTTAATATCCTAAATTTTGTATTAAATAAATAGTTTAATAACGTAGACTTTCCACTACTTTGAGCACCTAATATACCTACTGCATTATAATCCATCCCTCGTTTTAAGAATTCTGGTTTTGATAAAATATAATTTTTTAATGATGGTCTTTCTCTTGTGTCAGTAGATGCAAAATTCCCATCTCCATCAATTATTTGTATCCCACATTCTGGTATTTCTGTTTTAACAACATTTCTTGGTGAATTTAATGCATTAACATAATGACTAATTGCCTTGTCCCTTGGCGTTTTAGTAGGTAATAATGGTTTACTTGTAAAATGTTTTGTTGGAGAAACTTCGTCCATTTCCTTCAAGAACTAATAAATTTCCTTTCTTCCTCAAAAATTTTATATTTTTCCTTTTTTCTTTTTAAAAATTTGTTTTAGATAACAATAAATATTTAAATCAATAACAAAATTTATTAGTTCAATCAAATTATGTTATTGGTATAATAAATCAATAACGACATATTCATCAGTGTTAACTGTTGGTAATGGTAAGTTAAACTTGATTTGCTCGATATATGGTTTGAGAGCTTCACAGTTTTCTGAGAGTTGAATTTCTTTTTGAAGAATAGCAAATAATTGTTTTAATGGAGCAGTAAATTGTTGATCAGTAATTAAGAGAGTGATGTGAGCATCAAAGAAAGCCATTAACCAATTTAGGATTCGTTGTTGAGAGATTTGAGTGTTTGACTCAAACTGTTGAATGAGATATTTTAATATATTCATTACCTCATTTGGATTTAACTGAGACAATATTTTAGGTGCAGTTTGGGCATTTATTTCTCTATCAAACACGTGAAGAATAAAAGTATCCTTATTTTTAAATTCTATTTGGTTGAGATTCATTTGAACTGTTAAACGAAGTAGTGAAAGAAGAGGTACTTCTGTGACAGTAACATTATCTCTTTGGATAATGTAGTCAATATAATTTAAATTGTTTTCATGAATTAGTAATAATAATAAAT